CCTCCTGAAACTGCATAAGCAGCAGTACTCAGCTAACATGGAAAATGACAAATATCTAGAGTAGGGAAAATCATGCTATGTGTGGTTGGTGTTAGCCATGTCTTCTGAAAGACAGCTTCACACTGGAGTACAGGGACAACCAAACAGGCTATCAAGCGTAAAACTTAGGGCCAGGACCTTCCATATAGACTTTCAGAGAATGTTCCAGGCTCAAGTTCTAAGTCAGAACTAAGGACTGGCCAACAGGAATCTCATCACTGCAACCTTTATATTATATGCAGCAATTTCAATCCTCCAAAGAGTAGTGATTTTTCATATAACTCTCTCTTTTCCAAATACACTTCTATTGGCTGATATTTTCCAGGTGACCATTGATATTTCAATTTCTTTCTGTGGTATGCAGTGTTTTTAGCAAGTGCCTGTTCATTTACCACCTCCAGTTTTCAACCAAATTTAGATCCAGTTGGATTCATGAGTCTTGTTTTTTCCAATAAAATTTGCCAGTGGAAAGCTGGTAGCCAGAGTAATGATGAGCGTAATGGGGGGAGCATAAAAATGACTTGTATGTTTCTATGAAATCAAGATGAGCTGTGTGTGGGGTATACAGATGTGGGGAGGATGAGTTGGACAGCAAAGCATGATGGGTGATGAGGTGAATATGAATTCACTACAATGATATACATGCATAAAAGTAGCATCATGAAATCCTACATTTTATACACTTAGAATTGATTTCTGTTTTGAAAAGGAAAAACCAGGGGCTTAAGTTGGCTCAGCAGTACAGAGAATTTGCTGCTCTTCCAGAGGACCTGAGTTTGGCTCCCAAACCAGTGCCAGTTAGCTCACAACTGCCTCTAACAATAGCTTCAGAGGAATCTGACACCATCCTCTGGCCTCTGTGAACACCTAAAACACATACACACACACACACACACACACACACAACTTTTTCCCCCCGAGCTCATGATTAGCAGGCAGACTTGACAAAGGAATGGGTTTTCTTTTCAAGACACCTTCATCCCTTCACAGTGTAAGACAGGTTATGAAAATTGGGGAAGGTGGGGCTGGAGCAATGTCTCAGTGGTTAAGAGTACGTGCTGCTTTTTATGAAGACCTGGATTCAATACCCAGCATACACATGGTGGCTTCTAGCCACCATCAGTGCCAACTCAATGGGGTCCAATGTCATTATCTGTCCTCAGTGGGCACTGCGCATACATGCCTCATATCTATAGACACATATATATGTATATATATATATATTTGTATCATAATATACTGTAAAGTTATACACATACTATTATAAACTTATATTTTATTAGAAAAGTACATGTTATTATATAGTATACACATAATATATAACTTGTAAATAATATAAATATATGCAATAAATTTATAAATATGTATTTATGCATATTAGTATAAATTATATATAAACACACATGTGATGTAGGATATTGGAAAAATAGCAGGTCACACACTAAGGAAGTGTTCACCTTGATAAGCACTCAAGGGCTCTGTCTCCATCAGTGCTGGTATCCACTCTCTCCTGATCATTCCATCTCCGTCAGTGCTAGTATCCACTCTCTCCTGATCACTCTGTCTCCATTAGTCCTGGTATCCACTCTCTCATGATCACTCCTTTTCCACCCACAGGACCTCAGAGGCAACATTCAAAAAGTGTGTCAATTTCTGGGCAAACCTCTGAGTCCAGAGCAACTTGATGCTGCTGTCCAACACTCGTCCTTCTCAGCCATGAAAGAGAACGCGATGTCCAACTGTATAATGCTAAGAAATCCGGAAGATGACACGGTCCACAATATACCATTGCTGAGAAAGGGTGAGACAGGATAGCGGGTCACAGCTGTACTGTAGAAATGGGTAGGTTTCCAACCCTTGCTAAAGCGTGAGACATGCAAAGATGTGCTCAGAAGTTAGAGTCATATCCCATCATATTCTCTGAGAACAGTCGCTAGCCACAGATCCATTACTGAGAGTTCACCAGAGAAATGAGAGGTGCCTGTGTCCTGCTTCCTCTGCCTGTGCAGCAGATAAGTCTATACAGTTAGACCACTCAGTCACAGTGACATTATCCAAGTCTGTAAGGAACCAGAGATACAGTCCCAGTAACAAGACTGTCCCGTTCAGAGGGTGCAGTGATAACAACAGAACCCCTGCAGACATCCATGTGTATATATGACAGAATGTTCATAAATCAGTAATAGAATCTGCTCACACATGCAGCAACTTGGATGGATTCCGGGGGCTTTATGCTGAGCGACAAAAGTCAACAACATAAATCTGCACATGATATATCTATGTAACATTCATAAAATAGAAGACAACTGGAGAGGCAGAGAATATGTTGCTGGCGTTCAGGGACCCAGGGTGAACATTCTCTTAACTAGAATACAACCTTGGTTGGAGGACACACACTTTGGTGCCAATTTTGTAGCCGGCTACTCTATCACATGGTTGACAGTTTTCCACATGGAGGGATGGACTGAGGTTCTGTTATGAGAAATTCCTCAGTTTTTCCTTCACAATTTCAAGACTGGGATTTTCCACGTGACATTTCAGGTGTTCACAGCCCCCGACCTCAAATCCCTTTCGTGCTCACGTGGTTTTGACAGCGGGTACAGAGCAGGAAGTTGTAGGATGACTCCTTTTGGTCTTGAGAGAGACACCAACTGGATCGATGAGGTCAGAGGAAGACAGGCTTGGCTGCTCATATGCGGTGCTCACTCATTTCCCTGCTGCTTTCCCTTCTGGGTTTGACAGGCACTTGTGGCGACTGGAAGAATGTCTTCACTGTGGCCCAGAGTGAAGCCTTTGACACCGTCTGTCAGGAGAAGTTGTCGAGGCTCGATCCTGGTCTCTTCCCCTGGTCTGAATACTGCTGACTGATACCCGTCTTCTCCCAGATTGGGTTCTCAGTGCAGTCTTGGCTGTGCTGGAACTAGCTCTGTAGACAAGCTGGCCTTGAACTCAGATTCTTCTGCCTCTGCTTCCTATGCTCTGGGATTAAAGGACTGCATCTCCACAGCCTGATTGTCTGTTTGGAAGGCTGTAAATAAACCTTCCAAGAACTCTGTTAGCTACTCAGACTTAAAAATAAAACCTGTGCTTGTTTCTTTTTTTGTTTTCTTTTTCTTTCTTTCTTTCTTTCTTTCTTTCTTTCTTTCTTTCTTTCTTCCTTCCTTCCTTCCTTCCTTCCTTTCTTTCTTTCTTTCTTCCTTTCTTTCTTTCTTTCTCTTTGTCATCTCAATACAAGTTAATCATCTGGCATCAGGAAATCTCAACTGAGAAAACGCCTCCATCAGACTGTCCTGTGGGAGCTCCCAGCCCACTCAAGGTGGTGCTGTCCTTGGGGAAGTGACTCTGGTTGTTTGAAAAAAAAAATCGGTCTGGGCAAATGACAGGAAGCAAGTCCATAAACATCGTTCTTCCATGGTCTCTACTTCAGTTCCTGCCTCAATTTTCCAAGATAATGGACCTGCAAGCCAATTAAATTCTCTCGTCCCTATATTGCCTTTGGTCAGTGTTTTATCACAGCAATGAAATGAAGACTAGAATTCTGTCCTTTTCAGTGGCCTAGTGGCTCACATCACAAAACTCTGAGCAAAATAAGTTTTTGAAAACATGATGGACTCTATAGCACACATTCCTGTCCCTAGTTTCCAGAATTGAATTGCAGGAAGACATTCATAATACAACAGCAATGGATCATCACTGTTAGCCAGCTGCCCGGTGAATCTGTGGGTGTTGCAGGGGTCTGCACAGAGAAGTGTGTGCTGGCCTGAGCTTTATGTCCCCAGTCCTAAGGAGCACACAGCGTCAACTGATGTGGGATCCCTCTGTATGCTGTGAACCACTGCTTAATGAATAGAGCTGTCTTGGCTTACCGGAAGGGCAGAGCACAGCAAGGCTGGAAAATCCAAACAGATGCAGAGAGAGAGTAGGAGGAAAATGAGGAGTAGGGATTCCACTAGGTTAAGGGAGAAGTCTACACCGCATTAAATGTAGCAGAGTCAAATTGAAGATGAATTATTACGATGGGGAAGAGTCAGTTATTTCTTTTAGGAAAACTCAACTGAATTAGTAAGATTTTTCTTCTAGTTTCTGAAAAAAATAAGGACTGGAGAGATGGCACAGAGATTAAGAGTACTCTCTGCCTCTGCAGAGGACCCATGTCCAATTCCTGCACCCATATGGTAGCTCATAATCGCATGTAACTATAGTTCCAGGGGATCTGATGCTGCCTTGACTTTCGAGTGCTTCCATATACACATGGTACATGTACACGCACCTGGTGCACGTATATCCGTAAAATAAATATTTTCTTAAAAGGAAAAATAGTCTAATTATTCAGTGGTTCTCAACTTTTCCATTGCTGCAAGTCTTTAATACAGCTCTTGTTGTTGTGATTTCCCAACAATGCAGTTTTTATTGCTACTTCATAACTGTAATTTTGATACTGTTATGAATCATAATATAAATATTTGAAAAGCAGGATATATAACATAAAATCCCTTTTGGAGTTATGATCCACGTATTGAGAACTACTGATTAAGATTATTAAATTTGAAATATTGTTTAAATAGGACTGACTTCTTTATTGTAATTCACAGCAAATGTAACAGTGACTAACAGCAACATGGAAAATCTTCAGTTTCAGAGGTATAATATTTGTTATATATATGTGTGTGTATATACATGTGTGTGTTCATATGTGTGTATTTGTGAGTGTGTACTCTTGCGTGCATACTTGTGCATGAATACTTGTGCGTGCGTACTCATGTGTATGTATATATGTGTGTGTGTGTATATATGAGTTGTATATGTGTGTGTATTTGTATGTGTGTATATATGTGTGTATATGCATGTGTGTATGTGTGCATGTGTGTGAATGGGTGTATGTATGTATATATATATGCGTGTGTGTATGAGTGTGTATATGTGTGTCTATGTATGTGTGCAAGTGTGAATATGTGTATATGCATGTGTATATGTGTGTATGTGTGTGTATACATGTGTGTGCGTATATGTGTGTGTGTATGTGGATCTGTGTGTACTTGCAAGTGGTGCCTGCGGATGCCTGAAATGCACATCAGATACCATAAAGCTGGAGTTACAGGCAGTTTTGAGCCACACAATGTAGGTGCTGGGGTTTGAACTCTGGCCTGTGAAGAGTGGGGAGCACTTTTAACCCCTGACTTATCTTTCCAGCCCCTCTTTGAAGGAATAAACAGCAAACCTTCGCTCTGATTTCTGGGACTTAGAAAAAGAATTTTTCAGATCACTTTTCCAAAAAGTATGATTCTTGATTTTAACTTTGGGGATTCTAGACATTATCTTCATGCGTCCCACCTTCTGCCTGGTGATGCTTGTGTCTCTTAGGATCGTGGCATGAACTACAGTTCAGGTGATGTTAGCTGCACTGAGAATGACGCCAAGTCTAACATGTCACAAACATCACTCCCAACCAGAACTGTAAGAGAATCAGGGTCTCCTCAGTCTCCAACCCAACACTCTAAGACGGCCATTAAGTAAACATTCATTTTCAAACACGCTGAGAGTTTGAGTGTGTTTGTCATCTAAAGATTGTAAAGTGGTGAGGGAAAGTATATATAAAGGCAGGTGGAGACAGAGCACTGTGAAGTAACCCTGGAACCAGCTACCAGGACCAGGTGTGCATCTTGGAGCAGGATGTTTAGGAGAAATACGACACAGAAAAAGCTGTTGTTTCAAGACCAGTTCTTGCTGTTCCAGATCAGACGAACACCCCTCATCTTGTTCTCCTCCTTGACCCATGGATAATGCAAAATATTCAGGTTATTTTTCTTTTCCACATCTTGCAGTAGCTTCTGTGACTCTTCAGAAAGTGCAGATTCGTCCAGTCTGAAGAGAGGAAGAAAGCTGTTGACTCTTTACATCTACTAATTGTGGCGCTTATACAGGCACACGTGAAGGTCAGAGGACAGTTCACGGGATTCCATCATCCCCCTGCTACTATGTGTGTCCCGAGTGATCAGACTCAGCAGCAAGTGCCTTCATCCGCTGAGCCATCCACCATCCCAAGTTTGGTTGGCAATCACTTGCCTCTCCTTTACCCCATGAAGCCCTCTCTGTTACCCTAGGAGTGAAGGAAGGAAGACGCTGCATGTAAGAAGGCCTGATTCTCTTCCACAGAGTGGGGGTCCTCTTGTCTATGTAGATACAGACATCTGCGTGAAACATCTATCTAGATGCCAAGACTAAAGTTACAAACCACTGAAGCAAAAATGACTGTTTTCACCCATTTGATGGGGAATCTCAGCCAATCACATTAGGCCTAAGGTGTGGCCATTCGGGCTATAAAAGATTGAAGTGCCTTGCCTCCTGCCCCTTCGGTTTTCCGGCTCCATTGGTGTTCTTGGGATCTCGGGTCTTGTAAGTTTTCCCCTTTTTATTAAAAGCTAATTCTTTTACATAGTATTGGTCTGTTTATTCTATCGATCGACCACACCTGCTACACCCAATCATTGTTTAAATGCCTAACCATGATCATTATTATTCCTTATTCCTGCGTTATTACTTTAGTGTTGACTTTTCTCAAATTGTGAACACTAGTATAGCTGTCATCATCACCAATCTCATGCCATCTATGTTGTCTGTCCCTTTTGAGTCCCTACTCACTTTCTCCGAGATGCTTGAAGCTTATCCTACACCTTAGCTCATCCATGGATACAGCTGATGCTCATCTATTCCCTCTGCCTGCTTCCCCCACACTGTTATCACTAAGCTTACCTAAGAAAATAAAAATTATCAAATGCTTATTATCTTTACACTATATTTCAAAATCCATTAGTTTATTCTTTGAGAATTTCACATGGATACAATGGATTTTGATCATATCCTTTCCCCATTCCCCTCTCTGACCCCTCCACATTCCTTCCCTCACTTTGTGTCCTTTTCTTCCCCAGTAGCTCACGGACTCTCAGTTGTGATGCCCACACATGTGTGGAGGAAGGTGCATGCATGTGGCATATGCAACCTACCAGGGGACACATCCCTAAAGGACACAACTCTCCTTTCCCTGAGGCCACCAAATGTTTCTAGTTCCCCAGCTAGGGGTCCGGGTAATGACCCTCTCCTCCACCCATGCTGGAATGTTGACCTGCCTGAACTTGAACCTGGGTCACGCAGGCAGTCATGGCTACTGTCAGTTCATGGGTGCATCTACCTTGTCAAGTCTAGAAGAGGCTGTTTTGTAGAAGTCTTCCCGACTCTTACAATCTCCCTACCCCTTCTTTCTCAATGTGCCCTACCCTTGAAAGTAAGGGATCAGCCCCTTTAAAAAAGTAATGTCTTAATCAGTCAACACTCAATATGATTAATTTTTTTCTGGAAAAAAAATCCCTTAGATTTTTGTGCAGTAGTTCCCCCTGAATTTCACAAATTAAGATTGGGACACAGGTCTCTGGAGAAGTACAGCTGGCTTCCTCAATTTTCTTCCCCTTCTATCTGCTTTTGTCTTGCCTGGTATCCATAACCACAAGTCATTTGACCTGTGACTACAAAGAGTTAATACAGAGATCTGCCATGCTTATTGAGATCTGCTGCGCACTTCATCCCCTGACTCTCCAGCCTCCCCTTCAAGCACAGCATTCTCACCCCGATTTTCCTCTCTGCCCACACCCCAGCCTCCCCTACATTTCATCCTTGCTTACACATTACTCTCTGTAGCCCCAGAATAGGATCCAAGTCAGTGGGGCAAAGGTGCGAACCATTTTCCATTTCACAGAATGCTCAACCATCTTCCCAGGCACTCATATCATCAACCTGCACATACGGAGCAAGTTCTCAACAGAACTTTGATTTAGAACTCTGTACAGCAGCTTCAGACCCCTCCTGACTCTAGCCTGGGTTGAACATTCATGAGTAGGTACTGGATGTGGGAGGCGGTGTCTGTAACCACCTCTGTTGTGTGATTGGGTCTCCAGAAGATATGAGAATGACCAGCCAAGTTATGCCCAGTTACTGACCTGGCAGTTATAGGAGTAGCTGATCACTTTTGATTGGATTATGATACCAGCTTCACAGGGAGATTTAATGACTGCTACCATAAACACTGTCAACATCCCGTGGCTTAGGAGATCACAGGCCCCAGAGGGAAACCTACTGCTGTTCCCTTAAATGGGCCTCTTTGTAAAACTGCCCTCTAAATATTCACATTTGTGCCCATTAGATTCGTACTTCTCACAACTGTGGTCTAAGAACTTTTCAGTTAATGCAGGGATCACAACTTGTCGAAGGTGTTGAGAGCAAGTGATTGTGACTGCTGAGCTGTAGATTCGTCCTTGATGAACCTGCTCTACCAGGCGCAGGGCTTGTCATGACAGAAGGGGCAGAAGGACTGTGAAGAGCGGGGATGTGGAGAAGCACAATGGAATGCTCTCTTTAGACATGACATGAGCATTTATGCATCAGCTCACAGTTGATGCTGAGGTTGTTGGCATAAAACCTGCATTCAAAATTCCAACATGAATGAGGGGGACCCTGAACCCCACCCCTAGTGGAAGAGCTATTGGTAGCTGATTGGTGTTCTGTGAGAATGACTTCTAATATTGGTGTGTTTGGTGGTTGCCTATGCCCCAATGGATGACCCCATATCCATAAGTATAGTCAACAGGAACTAGAGTCAGGAGTTATTAATTGGGATTGGAGGGTCCCGGGGGTGTTTGAGGTTGGTAGTGGGGGCGGGATATTATCAAAATATGTTTTATATATGTATGAAAATTTGAAAGAATAAATAAAATTTTTATTAAGATTAACGTGGGCTGGAGAGATGGCTTAGAGGTTAAGAGCACTGGATCTTCCCCTAGGTGTGATAGGGTTCTATTCCCAACACTCACAAGGTGGCTCACAACTATCTGTATCTCCGTCCCAAGGGATCTGATGCCCTCTTCTTGCCTTTCCAGGCAGTGGGCAGGCATGTGGTACACAGAGTTACATGCAGAGACAACACTTGTACATAAACAAAAATGTTTTAAAAATAAATTTGTCATTGAATATCTTCAGAGACCATTTAAATGGCATATACAAAGTATACTACATATTCAAACTCATACTTATATTTTGTCAGTTTTATTATCACTTTTTGTTTTTTAAAATGTTATATGATACCCACATGTAGCATTTTCTTACAATGTGTGTATGTGTGGACTAGGACCCATATATTAGTGAGAATATGTGGTTTTTTATTTCTGCAATTAGGTGACCCTATTTGTCATACTTCTAAAAACACTAATTTTCTATAAATATTTTGATTTCATCATTCTTTAGAGCTGAATGATAATTTTACAAAATAAGTCAGCAATACCACTGTTGGGCATATATCCAAAAGATGCTCAATCACACTACAAGGACATTTGTATAACTATGTTCATAGTGTCCAGAACCTGGAAACAACCTAGATGCCCCTCCACTGAAGAATGGATAAAGAAAATATGGCACATTTACACATTGGAGTACTACTCAGCAATAAAGAACAACAACATCTTGAAATCTAAATGAAAATGGATGGAACTAGAAAAAAACTATCCTAAGTGAGGTAACCCAGACTCAGAAAGATGAACATGGTGTGTATTCACTCATAAGTGGATACTAGCTGTAAAGCAAAGGATAATGATCCTATACTTCATGATCCTAGAGAAGCTAAGTAACAAGGTGAACCCTAAGAAAAACTTACATAGATCTACCTGGAAAGAGGAAATCAACAAGATTGTTTGACAAAATTGGGAGCATGGGGGTGGGGAAAAAGGGAGGGTGGAAGGGGGAGAAGGGGAGCAGGGAGGCGAACATGAGGGAACAGGGTAGTCAAGATGGGGGAAGGACAGAGACAGAGGCAAGGAAAGAGATACTTTGATTGTGGGAGCCATTATGGTGCTAGCAAGAAATCTGGAACAAGAGAGATTTCCAGGGATCCTCAAGGATGACCCCGGCTAAGCCAAAGAGGATAGTGAGCCTGAACTGACCTTGCCCTGAAGTTAGATTGATGATTATTTTAAATGTCACCACAGAGCCTTCATTCAGCAACTGATGAAAACAGAGGCAAAGAACCTCAGCAGAGCACTGGGCTGAGCTCCCGAAATCCAGTAGAAGAGTGGGAGGGGTGAGAATATGAGCAAAGAGGTCAAGACTATGATGGGGATGCCCACTGAAACAGTTCGCCTGATCTAAAGGAGCTCACCAACTCCAACCATACTAGGAAGGCACCAGCGTAGGTTCAAACTAGTCCCTCTGAGTGTGGGTGACAGCTGTATGGCTGGGGCAGACTGGGGGGCACTGACAGCGGCACCAGGATTTTCCTCTATTGCTTGTAGTGACTTTTTTAGAACCTATTCTCTTTGGATGGATACCTTGCTCAGCCTAGATATAGTAGGGCGGGTCTTGGACCTTCCCCAAAGCAATGTGCCTTACCCTCTCTTAGGAGTGGATGGGGGTGCGGTGGATAGGTGGAGTGAATGGAAGGAGGGGAGGGAGTGGTAACTAGGATTGGTATGCTAAATAAAAAAGACAATTTGTTCTCTTTTTAAAAAAATAAAAGAAATAATAATAAATTTATTAAAAATTAAAAAAAGAAATAAACCAAGGTTTTTTTTAAAGAAGATGTTTGATATTATTTGGGGTAATCGCCACCAGAGGGTGGTACCTATGAATGGCTAGAGATCAGGGATGGTCCTCAGTGTCCTAGAGGATAAAGTTGGTCCTGCACAGCAGAACTCCCCAGCCCTGTGTCAACAGGGCTGAGCTTGAGCTGCCATAGAAGAGCTGCTCCAAAGTCACTCCCGACCCCGGACCCAGTGATCACTCACCCCAGCACCTTCACGGCGCAACCTCTGCAAGTCAAAGCCTCACACAGCAGCTCCACCCCATCATGGGCCAAGGTGACCCAGTCGAGGCTCAGCCTGGTCAGTGTTCTGCATGTGCTGAGAGCCAAGGCGAGGTCTACACAGCAGGCAGTGTTGAGCGAACACATGTCTGACCTGTGACAGGGAAACACCAGAAAAAGGATGAGGTATTTGGTGCCAGTTCTAGACTTCTGAGCAAAGACTTAACCAGGCCCAAATGTACACAGTGAGCGAAAACACTAAGCAAATCCAGATTTCATGGAACAGTACTTTTTTGTTTGTTTGTTTTGTTTTGTTCTTTCGAGACAGGGTTTCTCTGTAGCTTTGGAGCCTGTCCTGGTCAGGCTTGGCTTGAACTCACAGAGATCCACCTGCCTCTGCCTCCCGAGTGCTAGGATTGAAGGCCTGCACCACCACCTCCCGGATGGAGCAATATTTTTTATTTGAGAATCATACATGTATACAATGTATCTTGATTACATCTTTCTACTACCCCACACATCCAACTCCTCCCTGACCTCCCTATCCCCACCACTCCCAAAGTGATACCCTTTTTAAACCCACTAAGTCAATGGTTTTAAATTCAGGGGTCATTAACCCATTGGGGGTGGAATGACCTTTTCACGGAGGTCACATCTCAGATATTCTGCAGGCAGATAGTTACATACAGTTCATAACAGTAGCACAATTACAGTTATGAAATACTAATGGAAATAATTGTATGGTTGGTGTCACCACACAGAACGTGAGGAACTGTATTAAAGGTCACAGCATTAGGAAGGTTGAGAGCCACTGCACTAACTCAATTAGCATTGCCTTAGGTGCTTGGGTTTAGGACGATCCACTGGAGCACAGGTAACCAGGACTCCATCTCTGAAGAAGATTAACTCTCCTCCCATCAGCTGCCATCAGCTGCCAATAGCTCCTCAGCTGGGCTGGGGCTTCTTGAGGGCCTCCTCCATCCACTCTGGAATGCTGACTACTTGACTCATGCCAGATACTGTAAACTGGTGAAGAACCTGTGGCTGGGCAAGCTGTAGGCCCTAAGGAAGAACCCGTTACTATCGCTTTGCTATGGGGACATAACATAAAACTACCTTCTCAATCTTCCTAGTGTTGCAACCCTTTAATACAGTTCCTCATGTTGTGGGAACCCCCACACATACTACAAAATGATTTTTATTGTTACTTCATAGCTGTAATTTTGATACTGTTATGATTCATAATGTAAATATCTGTGTTTTCTGATGTCCTTAGGTGACCCCTGTGAAAAGGTCACTTAATTCTCAAAGGGGTCAGGACCCACAGGTTGAGAACCATTGTTCTAACCGCTTAGCATTATTTCTATATGTTAGTTCAACTCTCAAACCTCATGGGAGAAGCATCTCTTTGCAATGGCCTGGTTAATACAGAGACACACAGCTGGCCTACATTCTGAAAATGAGCGTAGGCTTAAACCAGACACAGTTCCCAGAATCCTCTCCAGTGCAGTCACCAGGACACTAAACACACTATGGATGACGGGAAAGAAGCAGATGCTACAAAGAAGCTGCACACATTTCCATCTCACACTGACCTTGTGACAAATCTGTTTTCCGTATACATGAAGGAGCTCAAGACTTGGCTGTGTGGGACCACATAGCTCCAAACGGCAGTGCCAAGACTCAACAGAAAGCCTTCCTGACCGTGCCATCTAAACACTCAAGCATAGACATAAAAGAACTTAGAAACTCTGTTCTGGACAGAAGGACTGGTGGGTAGGAGTATGGGCTGTACATGCGTGAGGACCTGGGTTCAGATCCACAGCACCAACATATAAGCTGGGCATGGTTGCATGAGGTTGTTGCCCCACATTTGAAAAGAGAAAGAGGTAGATCCAGGCGTCTTGGTGGCCAGTTAGCCTAGTCATGATGGTCAGCTTCAAGTTTGGTGAGAGACTGTCACAGGGGATTAAGGTGGAGGACAATGGAGAAGGCACCCCACATGTTCCCCTGATAGCATGCACGCAAAAGACCTGTAAAATAATGCACTCTACACTGCGGCAAAACTGGAAGAACTGAAGACCAGGTTCAGAGATGTACTCACTTCTTGTGTCGTCTAAAGTTTTCTATGTCACCATCTCCTGGGTTATAGATTTCTGAAAAATCTCTTTGCTGTATATGCATACGAAGTTTTTTTTAATTTTAGAGATTTTAGCAGACTGTATTCAACCAATGTCATTTTATTAGCATCACTAATATCAACAGTCAGTTCTTCGAATAGATCCAATACTTGGGTTTCAAATTTTTCTTTCTGGATGTCAATTAGGCTATCGATCAAACTCTGGTCACTCAGTGTCTTACTGCACTCTCCTTGATTCAAACTTTTAAGGCAGTTGAAGATAACCTCTCTCATCTCTCTGGGTGGTATCAAACCAAAGTGTGGGTTCAGCATGGCAGTGACTTCTTCAGCAGCAATGCCAAACACAAACATCCCTGTCCGGAGCCAGTGGGTTTGTCCATGAGCATACACTTCTCTTAGGAATTGGGGTAGGCTTCCAATGATGGGGTGGGTCTCGTCTTTGTCTTGTCTGAGTTAATAGAATACAGCAGCAAAATACGACTGTAGTGTTGGATGGGAAAGCATGAAGCAATCACCTTGATAATGGGGAAAATTCATTTTCAGCCACGATGCCTTCTCAGATTCAGAGATTCCATTTCTCCTGAGATCCTCAGACTTAAACGCAAATACCTGTTTCCACATTCCCTCTGCAGCCACGGTGCACAGAGTCTTTGGTCGGGCTCTGTCTAGATGGATGGTTGTCATACACAGATCTGAAGGAGCTCACCATAAATTTTGTGAACATAATTGGATCTGACGGACAAAAGAAGTTTGTTTCCTTTCCTCTGTCACACTGCCCCTTTATGGTACTACAGAACATCCAGCACATATAGGGACTAATGCATAATTCAGGCAATGCTTGCACTGAATAATCAAAGACTTCTAAGCCTTTCTCAACGTCGTTGAAAAAGCACACACAATAGAACTTTATAGACTCCTCACTGCGTCCTCCCACAGTTATCTCCCTTGGATACTATAGCAAGGGACAGATTTTGGGTGTACTTGGGTTTCCCAATTCAAGCAGCAGAGATGATTCTGGGAGCATTACTTTCTGTAGCAAACTACTCAAGACAATTTGTGTCGGCAGCGTCTTCCTCCAGTCGTCACACAAGTTTGTTTGGAGTTCCAGGTCAAATTTCAGGTAGTCAAATCCATCCAAGATAAACAAGATTTTCCTCGGATCGGATAAGACATCATCCAGTGTCTCTGAAGATGCAGACAACTGACTTAAGGGAAGCTGAGTTCGGCTTAACTCTGTGGTGCTGTTAAGTGAGACGAGAGAAAAGAAGAAAACATACTGAAATCTGTTCTTCCATAAGTCTCCTGATGCCCAATCCAACATTGCTTTTCTTAAGAATGTGGTTTTTCCAATAGATTCAGCACCAGTATGACTGCAGTGACTGGCTTTAACTGAGGATCAAATACTGTTTGCAACACCTTGTGCTGTAGTTTTACAATTTCTTGGTAGCTTTCAACAGGTATACGAATGAAGGTCTCCCAGTTCCATATGTGGTGAAATGTAGTCTTCATAATCTCTTTGTTTGATGAAATCAGAACACAAGAAAGTTAGGTCTAGGACACTTCTGAGAATGAATCACAGTTTTCTTAAATACACGTCTAGTGAATGATCTCCACACCTGGATGAGCGGTGAGGCCATGGGTCCTGAGGACAGAAAAGGAGGAGAGCCACCCACCCTTCCCTGCAATAAGTTTCTATTTCCCTTCAACAGGGTTTTCCTCCCTTTACCCTCCAAAGAATGGTTAGGCCCCACCCCAGCCCCAACCAACTAACACGTTCTTTCTACACCGACTTCTCTAGATAGAGACCTCTATTGCATGCAAGTCTTCCCATGCTTGTGAACTTGCATGGAAGAGTTGACTGACTCACACCTGACTCAAATCCCTGTGCTAAAGGGGGTATGAGAATATTTTAGGGCCAATAGAGGAGAAGGGGGTTCTCCAGAAGGCAGGGGTACCAGCTGCAGTACAACATGAATTCTGGGTACCGCACTGCAAATTTGCAAAGGGCCTGGTTCCTTTCCGGCGCAACAGTCATAAATACTTCATCTGTTCACAGCTTCATGAGTTAGGGCTCAGAACACTGTGACACAGCCTAAGGCTTTCATACCCCCAGTAGTCATTACAGGTCATTCGATTTGAATTCTTCAATTTTCTGTACATGTTTACAATCCGATGCTTAGTCAAAGCAAGATTTAATTCAGGCAACAAGGCAGTGTGAAACGACCTCTGGGGTCCTATGATTTCACATCTAAGGATAACAATCCTGACTGGGTGTTGCATTGTCCTGGGTTCAACCACATGCATCTTACAGTTTTAGGTACATTATTTAATGTATCTGGATCAACGTCCTAAGTGAAATGGGGTTACTAGAAAGTGTTCCTCTTTCCATTCATGGAGGTAGTTAGCAGGCAGCTGGTATGTCATTAGTATCACACTTTGATATTTTCCCGTGAATTTCTGGCACCAGGCTTTCCGAGGGCAAGAGCCTACTGTTGTATCTGAGACTTGTTAAAAACAAGGATAAATGCTTATCCTAGATCAGCTTAAGGCACTTAAGGAATAAGTGTTCTATTAGTCTCTTTTTTGTGTTTTATTTCAACATATATTTATCCCAAAAGCTGGCATGTTCACCATGGACAAATATTGTGCAATGATAGTTTGGTTCTCACACATCCAAGTAAATGTTCTTTGACTGTGCCTCAATTCTTTGATTTTTCACAGGAGTTTTGATTTTCCACCAAATGAAAGTCAAAAGTAGCTCTCTAGTTTTCTATTAAACCAAGAAGAGCAATAAATGTTGTTGGGCCTATTTATTTCTTATTTATTTCCTGATCTTTGCCTGTATGTCCAGGATTGCTTCTTTACAAGTAGATTCTCTAGATACTGGTGCAGTACATTAGGCCTCTGATAGGGATTCTTGAGTGTATCGGAAAACAACTCATGCTCTCCCTGGGGTCAGGTGGACACTGGAGTAACCCCAGGACTCAAGAGGGAAAGGAAACATTGACTTCAGTTAATACGTTTGCCAGACTTAAATGTCCTGGGACTCACCTGGGAAAATATGGAAAGAAGTGACTTCCTGAAGGATAACAGGCTCCGAATGACGTGTTGATGTTTTCCTGGGAGGACTCGGTGTTAGCATGATGGTGCAAGAGGAAAACAGTGTGGAGGAGAGTATTCCCTGGAAGGACACACAACAAATCCCTTCATCTACCCTTGAGTGCACTGATTCACGCTTGACTACAAGACCAATTTGGAACTTAGATTCTCCCAAGGGAAACATGGAAAACTTTTCCTAACTTCTGCCCAGCTACTCATTAAGATCTAACAAACTTCTAGCCATCATCATTAAGTATCAGGAGGTAAAAATGAGATTTGCTCTGGGGATGAAGGAGTTTTCCTTCGTGGGAGCTTTCCCAACTGCAGACAATCTCAGTGACACCACGGATGACACAGTAATGAACTCTCTGAAGGATGTCACATCCAGGTACACTGTTCTCCTTTGAGCACTGGAAACCTGGACTCTTTGGGAGTCCCCCTTACAACAGTGCTTTGAAAATAAGGGACACTTAAGTTCCTTGCATTCTTTCTCAGTCCAAGGGCTACACCGAGGTCTTCGATGGACGAGGCACTGTGAAGTATGCGCAACGGGAGATGTGCTCAGGAGTTGGCCTTCATCCTGCGAGCATCCTCAGCCTTGCTGTGGCTTCAACGGTGGGATCCTTTCAACCACAGACCTTTCAAAATTCCCTTCTCCCTTCTTCACTGTTCCTTATCTTCGGAAACCAGCATGAACCATGGTTTCTTCTGGATGTCTGCAGTTCAGTTCAAGCGGGTCAGTGTCTTGTTTTAGTCACAAGGAAACGTCCGTTTCCCAGATCAGCATTCAGCTGGAAACAGCATTCAGTGTGACATCTGGTGTGTGGGATGGTGGAGTTTAGCTGGTTACGGAGGCTGAGTGTTCCTATGGAAAACATACAACCGAGTAAGATGCAGACCAAGCATCGGCTTGCTAAGGGTATACTTATGATTGTGTTAATGGGTTCAAATATGACTGAGATGGTACAAGTAAGTCAGTCTCTGAGACCTGACTCTTTAGAACAACAATTGAACTAGATAAAATTGTTAATAAGTGAGACTCATTAACAAATGAGGAATTTTTGTGTAGAGGATACATACGCAAACCTAGGTTCACCTGAGTGATGAGAACACTAGAGGCTTTATCAGAAATGATTGGTATTCTGTTATGTGCATGCATAGTATCAAATTTTCTCAAAAGCCAATACATTGATTTCCTGCTATTAACTCAGAGACACAACTTTACTGGTAGCATGTAAACATTTATTTTTAACACATTACTACAGCATAAAGAAATGATATTGAATAGTGATGAGGAATTGTGTACTTATATCATCCACTCTCCTGTATTCACAGACCAAGACCATAGTGTTCAAATGTGTGCCATTGTGGTTTTGACCAATAAAGATAGAATTGCAGCGTCCATACAATTTTCATCTTGAGGCAGGAGGAATGCAATAAGCACAAAAACTTATTCTGAGTTAATGTCCGTGCATTGTTCTCCATGCAAAGCTACTGTAGTGTCTCCCTTCTCAGGAGAAGAAACCACCCCCAATCAATTGGTAAGCTTGGAGAACAGAGCAAAGCTTTGAGGACAGAACCATCCCACCTGATGGTCACTCCAGTGCCCAGTGAAGAGCTCTCCATGTCTGCTCATAGCAAAGCCCTGAAAACCACTGAGGAAACTGCCCTCCAGATCCTCTTGCTTTGCCAGATTGGGATTGGGATTGTGGCCAACATCCTTCTGTTTATCCATAATTTCTCTCCAGTCTTCGCTGGCATTCGACTAAAGCCCACACAGGTGATCCTTTGCCATGTGGCTGTGGCCAATGTTTTGATTCTTCTCATCACTGGGTTTCCAAACAATATGATGGTTTTTGCTCCAAGAAATCCTCTGACTGACCTCAAATGTAAACTTCAGTACTTCATTCGCCTGGTGGTTCGAAGCATAAACTTGTGCTCCACCTGTGTCCTGAGCACTCATCAGTTTGTCACTCTCATTCCTGGTACTTGGGGCAGGGTCATGCTCAGAGGAAAGGACCCAAATTTAGTGAGTTATTCTTGTTACAGTTGTTGGTTGCTCAGCATCTTAAATAATATCTACATTCCAATGAAAGTCACTGGTCCACAGAAAACAGGCAATGACACTGTTTCTAAAAGCAAGATGGTCTGTTCCACCTCTGGCTTTAGTGTAGGCATTGTCTTCTTGCGCTTTGCCCATGATGCCGCTTTCATCAGCATCATGGCCTGGACCAGCGTCTCCATGGTGCTTCTCCTATATAGACATCGCCAGCGAACCCAGTGTATCCACACTCCCAATCACAGAGGCCATGCTGAGACCAGAGCAGCCCACACCATCCTGTTGCTGGTGGTCACATTTGTTAGCTTTTACCTCCTGAATTTTATTTGTATCGTCTTTCAGACTGTTTTAATGGGCTCTCGTTTCTGGTTGAGGCATGTAGGTGAGGTTTTGGCTGTTAGCTTCCCCACCGTCTCTCCCTTACTGTTGCTCTCAAGAGATCCTAAGGATCCTTGTTCTTTGCTCTTCAAGCATTGCAAACCAGAGTAAGTAAAAATTAAAAACCCATGCCTGTGGTTGGCAAGGGAGCTAACTGTCCCCATTGCCAACTGTAGCACTAGGGAGAGTGGGCGTGGCTCCTCACCTGGGCAGCACAGTAGAGCCGACCCCTATTGACAAGGATGCTTGTGAATTGGCCCCGAGAACATGAGCTTGGGAGATCTGGCTTTGCCCCTCATCTGCTTTGTGTTGTCATGGGTAGAGGAGAAATGCCCTCTCTCAACCCAACTCTGCCTGTAGTGGGTAGGGGAGCCGGCGTGGAAATCTTAGGAGCAGGAGAGCTGTCCCTGCCCCTTACCAACTGCAGCACTTGGGAGAGGGGCACCTGCACCTCACCTGAGCAAGGCAAAAGAGTGGGCCCTGATGGCATAAGTGTGGGAGAGACAACCCCAAGGGCATGAAAGAAGAACAAGTGCTGACCCTTGCTCACTGCTGCAAGGAATGAACTAGCCAGGAGAATGCTAACAAGCTCACCCTGGTGGTGAGGATGGGGGAGAACTGACAAGCTGACCAACCTTGCAACTACCCAGGCCCAGAACCAGAGTTATGAGTTGGCTCACCCCAACATCCACCCCATCTTTGATCTTCTAGAGCTTGTGAAGGGACTGGCCCTGCAGACCCAGAGCTGCAGGATCTCCATGACAGAGGACAACAAGATATCCAATAGGAGCTCCAGTGAGGGCCAGTGTTAACAGTGTAGCAGAAAGCAGAGACTGAATCCGAGTGGTGACTCCTGGGTATGAACACTCGCCAGTAAAGGTGTATGGACTAGAGCATAAACTGTGTCGCTGACTGCATCACACTACATCTTCCATGGCAAGGGTTTTCTTTCTTTTCTTCTCTTGCATCTTAT